ATCACAGCTTCCTCTTTCTAAATGAGTCCTTCTCTCCCCATGAACTGACCATCAGGAGGTGTCTGTAAAGCAGGAAATCCCCAAGTTTTTCCTTAGAGCCTTTTTCAATCCTGCTTTAAAAGAAAATAAAATTCAAACCAAGGCATCATGTATTCCTGTAACCTTCTCTGGGCTCCAGAGAAGTTGGACAAACAGGGTGTCTCCCCCAGTTTTATGTCAAAACATACTATTTCCAATGGAGATCTTGACAGCCTTCCAGAGAAAACAACACGGCAGGACTGAAACAGGGTTAGGAATGGGAGAGGGGAAAAATGATACCCAGCCTAGATAAAACCATAAGTATTGTCAGTCAGCAGGAGAGCAGGGACTCAAACATTTTTGGCAGGGTATCCAAGGAGCAGGAGCACAGGGCATGGGGGCAGGCGGCGTGTGTTGTCTCCCAATTCCTCACAGAAATGCAGACTTCTTGTTGCACTTTTCCTCCTCCAGACAGTGCTTTGGGATCCTCAGCTAAAAAGCTCTAAGTGCATAATATAAAATGTTTTTATTAGTCTATCAGGTGCATGATTATGAGATCTCATTTTATAGCCACAAATAGCCAATAATTACCTTAGCATCCCATTAGCCGCAGCCTTCAACCAGACTGTTTGCTGGGGAATTTATCCATACTCAAAAAAGCAGGACGCTACCACAACTTGGACAAAGCAGTTTGGCACACTGCATTCAAGTCCATAAACTTTCAGTCTAGAGGTGGTTTAATTAGCAAGCTGGCCTGTTAATTTTTCACGGGGAGTACCATGTCTGCTAATCTGCTGAACAGCGGCTGCAGAGCAAGCCCAGAGGCTGCCCCTTCAGCTCTTGGGTGCTGTAGCAGGCACTTGCTTGCCCATCCCACTACTGCCCTCCCACCCCACTCCTGCCCTGTTGTTGCCCACTCACCCTGTTATTGCTCACCTCCTTCTAACATGTCCTCCCCATTTTTCCAGCTGCCAGCCTATCTTCCTGGCAGCAGAGAGCGGCTTTCTCCCCCTGTCTCTCCTGCACACAGATATTTGCTAGAGGGGGAGCACTGCTGGCACGCAGTTCTCCCCCTGCCCGGCTCAGGCAGCCTGGAAAGGAGAAATGAGAAGAAGGAGGGAAAAAAGCAGAGCTCTCCCCCCTGCCCGGCTCAGGCAGCCGCACGGGTCCTGGGCCACCACTGCCCTGCTGCGGTGCCAGGAGCTAGCGACTGGCTCTGGGGAGAGTACGGAGCAGCACTGACTGCTGCAGGGGAAACGAGGGGAGGGAGTGCCGAGGCAGCCTGGAAAGGAGAAATGAGAAGAAGGAGGGAAAAAAGCAGAGGTGAAAGAGTGGAGAAGGGGGGTGGTGAAAGAAACAAAGATACAGAACAAGGGGATGGGGGGGAAAATGCATAAACGACAGGAAACAGGGAGGAAGAAAAACAGTGGAGTTAAAATCCATCATGGGATTAGCGGAGAGAGGGTGCGCGATTCCTGCTGGCTCAGGAGGTGCTGAGCCACAGGAGGGGGGCACAGGTGCTGCTGGGGGCCTGCTCCATGCAGCAGACTGTGAGGGGAGGCAGTGGTACTGACACGGGGGAGGAAAGACCCTGCATCTTCAGAGTTAATAAAGAAAGCTTTCAGACCTCAGCAAGCTGACTAAATTAGGCAGAATATAAAGGTGTTGTATTATTTCTCAATACAGCAGTGGTATGAAAGGAGGCAGTGGGTTCTTTTGAAGCAGCTGCTGTGTAATCCTGGGCTTTCAGGTATACTTCAACCAAATGCTCTCCTGGTTTCAGCAGGTTAACTTCATTAAAGGCTCCATCTACCACTTTAATGTGCACTGAAATCCCACTGGGTGGGTATATTAGGCAGAAATAACCCCCACAAGATGATTGCATGCTGTTGTTTGGCACGGTGAATGGACCTGGAGGAGAAAATGGAGGAGGGGAGGGGGGCATACAGTGGCCCAGGCTGGAAGGACAGATCCTGAATTGCTGTATGTCGCTTTGCTAAGGACATCAGAAGCCACTGCAGCAAAACCCCAAGCCTGCAGGGAGCCATCCCTCCTGACCCCATCTCCACATATAACCTGCTTAGTTCCTCTCCGCTGTGGCTCCTTCTCCACACACCCAGTGGTCCCCCAGCTTGTGAGGAGGGTGGTGATTTCCACAGCAAAGAAGACACCATGGAGCTGTAAAGGCCATCTGTTCCTCCAACAGACCCTGGAAATTCTGTGGGCTTGGCTACTGTGAGCTTTGACTGTGGGCCTTGAGTATCTTACCCCACTGTAACTGTTGGGTGCAGTTAAGACTCTTGAAATATCAAAAAGCTTCTGGTGTGAGGTGACTGTATATATTCACCTGCTAAAATCACCCAAAAGCACTCACTGACTGTGGTTCCTACCCACAGAGCAGCACATGGCCAGCTTCATCTGGAGAAGCTCCACTTGGACTACACTCCAGTTAGGGTCAACAACAAATTTTCCATAGACAGCATTAGAGGGGTACATTTGTGGACCTCTACTCAGTTAGAGTCACAAACCAAGGGCCTCATTTAAAGTCTGCTGAAGCTGGTGCAAGTTCATCCATCAACTTCACTGATGGCTGGATGTGACCCAAGTGGCTGAGCCCTGCAAAGCCAGCATGATGTCTTTTACTGTAAGTGCTGACGTTGCCTTCGCCGGGCTGGCTTCCATGGTGTGTCACGGTCTGTAGTAAGCACTCACAGGGCTGTGTGCTCAGTGTTAGAAAGGGCCAGTCTTACTAAAACACCTCCTTAAAAACACACAAATTCTTAAACCAGCAAGGAACTTAGACCCCCCCGCTTTGCCTGAAACTTGGCAAAAAAAAAAATAATTCTTAGCACAGAAGCTATTTCTCTTTTCGTATAAACAAAATGCCATTACCATGCTTTGGCTGTTGGCTTGGTAGATTCTGGCAAGAAAACGCATGTGTGTATTTTAAAGGGATTTCTCTTTTTCTTATCATGGTTTAGCTTTTGACCTCACCCTTCTTCCCCCTCCCTCCCCATCCCAGGCACATTCCAGCGTGACTTCCGTGGTGGTACGTCACACAGCCCTCCCAGCAACTGGGGTTAGCAGTTAGCTGCCTCCAGCAGATAGCACATTCTTCTGGAACACTGTCATGGGGGAAAGCCTTGAGCTGTGAAAGGTTTTCTTTCCCTTTTAATCTTTTATTTTCTTTGATGTTCATTTTAAAATAAATTATTGTGCCTAGTATTTATTATAGTACCTGGCTGTGCAAGGACCAGGACCTCTCTTCTGTCCAAACACAGACTCAGAGACAGTTCTTGCCTCAAACAGTTTACAATCTGAAGAGACAAAGCAGACAAAAACCAAGAGCCAGATACAACATGGATGACAAGCCTGTGGATTACTTTAGCATTTAGTTAAGTTGTAAACTGTTGAGGGAGAGATTGCCATTTGACTATGCCTGTGCAATATCAGAAGTAGGAACTTCTGATGCTGCTGAATTGTTGTTTGGAGATGGTTTTTAACACAGAACACTTAGGTGAGGATGTCAAGGGAACCATTGCTTTTCACTTGGCTTCACCTAGCACGTCAGTGACCTCAAAAAGCAATCTCATAACAGAAAAGCCACGCATAATCTGCTAATAAAAGACAGCTCAGAACAGATCTAGAGGATCCCAGCTAATAGCTGTAAGCCATGCTGAGCTATGTTTTCACCACAGCCAAACACTCCTGTGTTTTGAGAACATTTCAAAGCATGTCTGGCACACAACTTATGTACATGCTTCCCTTCCTCCAAAGTTCTTAGTGGCACTATGGTCTTGCTGGAGAGAGTTCTGCTGGATGTATCAGGCTGAAGATCGTCTTCTTAATCCTCTCTTTGACATAAGTGCACATCTCAAGTCAGACCTTGCATTTATGCCATTTCCCAGACAATAAATCCATAATCTTGGGGGAGCCCTACTTTGCTTCCCTTCCATTTCTGTGAATGTTTGGAATCACAGTTTGGAATCACATTTTGGAATCACCCTTTCCTTCTGGGGATGGGAGTGCTTCCTTATCATTGCAGAGTAGATCTTTTTTCCCAAGAGGAGTCACCCCTCTCTCCTCAGGATCCTTCACACAGACCTTATTGATTTTTTTAGTGCAACTTCTTCTGGAAATTAATGGTACTAAGGCTGCTTCACAGTCAATAGGGTGGCCATGAAGCCCATGCCTCAAATAACTGCACCAGATGGTCCTCCAGGAAAGTGGGACTGCAGAACAAAAATCAGGAATCAGATAATTTTCTGGCCAGCTTCTACAGCAGGGAAGAGAAAACACTCTTGTGCTCAGCTGCCTTCACAGGACATTGGGAGCATGTGGCTCCTCTGCAAATTCAGGGTGTGCTTCTCAGAAGTTTAAACCTAGGGCCTAGCAGCAAGAAACTGCTGAAGTGAAAAGGTGCATTAGAATAACTGTTATCAGACACCCTGAAATGAGGGGTGGTTTTGTGGCCATGCAGCTTCAGATTTGGAGAATCAGGAGGGTCTTTCAGTCATTCTGAGCCAGACAAGTGACCCAAGAACTACCCCAGTGTAACCCTGTGGGTAGTACCAGACCTTTACCATACTTTGTTTCCTTTCCATGTCAGCAGAATGGGACAGCTGAAACTTTTTCCCTCCCACCCCCTATCTGACTTCTTTGCTTGATGTTGCGCTCCTGACTGGTCTCTCCCCATGCACAGCACAGTGGATCCAGTGGTTACTGTAATACAAACAATCCTCAGGTGCAGGTTTTTCTTTTTCCTCCTCAGTGTGCTGCATTTATCAGCATCAACCATGAGCCCAGCACAGTCAGGTTTCCCCTTGCTCTCAGCAGCTGAGAGCGTTTGGGTTCACAAACCTTGCTATTAATAATACATTGTGCAAAGTTGGTACAGAGCTCAAAGTTTTCTACCTGTGTGCTGCAGTTTGATTTTAACTGTGGGTATCATTATCATCAAAGAGACTGAGGAATGGCAGCTTTTAGTTAAACAAATGGAAACCTGTATTTAGTTTCTTTTGCCACATTATGATAGGAAAGAATAAAGGCTTTTAAATATATTTTACAGCTGATGTTTCTTCGGTTTTTCTGTCCTACTATAGTCTCTGTTGTTCTGACTGGGAAGTTGTTGCAAAAGCTTTTTGTTTGTAAGGCTCCTATTGAAATAATACATATTTATTTGTCTCATTCCTAAGTTGTTTTTTTTTTGTGATAGGAATTGCATATTGGGGGGGATGGAGGGATAAGCTATAAAGCATCAACAGTTGAGAGAGGATGTTGTGGGTGACTAATGAGAGAGGGGGCCTAGATACCACACTGCTAGCAAAGTGTGAAGGAGAAGAGGTGTCTCCCTGGAAAGTGAGAAGACAGCTGGTAGAGGAGCCCATGGCTCTCTGTAGGGAGCAGGGCACAGGCAGAGCTGGGAAGGGGGAGCTGAAAGTGCTCAGCAAGGAAGCCAAGTGAGAGCAGGGACAACGCTAGAAAAGAGCAGTATGAAACTGCAGTCTTTGATGAGAAGAGCTGGGCTCCTCCTACTGCGGCCACCAGAAATGAAAATCAATGAAGCAATTAGTTGTGTGAGCAATGGGATGCAGCTGTCCTAGAGGTGCTTAGCATGTGGCTGGATTCATGGATGTATAATAAAGGTCAAGCTGAGGCTTTTTCTGCCATGGTGGCACTAACATGGTCCCTCTATCACCCCAGCTGTTTTTAGAACTCTTGCAGGAGCTTTGTATTTCTGATGAAATGGTTCAAAAGTTGCTGTGGCAGCAGCAGAGAAACACATGGTAATATACCATATATAAGCCTCTTCCTTACACATTTAACCAAATGTATATAGATATATCCTAGCACTTGCCACACAGTGCTATCCCTAAGGGCTACAGGTAGTTTGGGAAAGCCATAGTGATCGCAATTCACCCCATTTTACATCACACAACACAGAAATACTAGACCCATTGCAGGCAGAGCAGAGGTCCCCATGCTCCTCACCACCACTCACCTCAATCTTGGGTGCTCTAAGAAATATTTTTACCTTTCACCTGCTGAAAACATGAAAGCAGTGGCTTTCTCTTCCAAGTGCTCTTGCACGTTTGAATCAAAGGTGCCCAGAGATGTCCATGTGAGATCCCTCCTTCTCTCAGCTCAGTCCCCCAGCACAGTCACAGGTGGCTGTCACCCAGTGGAGACTGGTTACCGTGCTCATGCCAAACAGAAGGTGAGCAGCAAAGAAGCCCCATCTGTTAAACACATGAAAGGTGAATTGATGTGAGTTCAAGCCAAGCAGTGAAATGTAGCTGTGAATCTGAAAACTTTGTTCCAAAGAAACAAAGCCCCACTTTAAAATAAGTCCAAAAAAATCCCATCCTACTTCTATTGAAGTCAATGGCAAAATTCCCACTGCTTTAACCAGGAACAGAATCAGGCCACTTCCAGACAGATTTACAGCCAACACATGCTGTAATGCTTGCATACTGCATGTGCTTACTTCTATTTCCAGCCATGTTAAAAAGTTATAGCAAATGCCTATGGATTTGTGTGTATGAGTTATTGTGCTGCTAATGAGAGGAAGAATTACCCAAACATGGTTTAGATGGTCATCCGTTGCCAGCACAGATGAAATTGCTGGGTCACCCACTGGCCTCATATTGCTGTTCATCCCATTAGCATTTCCATTAGAATTATTGCAAAATGTAACTCTTTTTTTTTTTTTTTCTTTTTGCGGATGTGGGGAGTGACACAGACTGTGTTTGCAATTAGTGCTGTTAAGGAATTGGAACTGGAGCTGAAGGCACAGTCCTATGCCATGCTGCAGCCACTAACATGACACTGCTCTGACAGGAGCATTTCTGCTTAACTGGGGCAGTAGGAGAGGCTCTAAGTATAGAAACAGACAAAAATTACTCCTTCCAGCTGAAGGCCTCTACACATAATGCATACATGCTTGTGCACTAGAAAGCTTTGCCTAATTCATTCCCACATGCTCCTTGCTTTGAATCCATCTCTCATAAATGTTAAGAAGTTTGGAAAAAAAAGATCTGTGTGAGGTTTAGACTGCTAAGTGCTGCCTGCAACCAGTGGGTTTCTCAGAAGCAGCCATTTGCCAGCCTCTTTGGTAACTAGACCCCATATTCTCTGAAGCTATCATTACAAAAAAAAAAAAGAATAAAATCATCTCATGGCTGAAGCCTCCCTCCCTTCACTCCTCCCACTTGGACAAAAACACCATCTATTGTTTTCCTGTAATTGATCAAGCATAAACATTCAGCTCTACAGTTTTACGACTAATCACTCTACTTCTAAGACACGTGTTTGCAGCTATGCAAGGCACCAGCTGCTGTCATTCCAATGGATATTAATTTATATTGTCTCCCACTCCCTTCCTCCCTGTGAGGATGCACAAAGGGAGTGGGGTGGTGGCGGGGGCTTTAGATGAAGACATCTGCTTGAAAGGCAGACAGTAGCCGCGCTGCCGAGATTGCACCTGGACTTTCACTGGAAAATCAGACACACTAGTTGCTTCCTAGCACTCCAGGCTTTGGCACTCACACAGGGCTTTGACTACAGTTATTTACTTATTTACCTGTCTCCAAGGGAAATGAAATGTCTGGACAGAGGGAGCGAGACAGATTTCAGAAGCAAAACAAAGTGGATTGAAATAAAATATTACAGACGTGTGGTGCAGCAGTGTGGGGGGGGGGGGGGAGAAAGATGGGTGAGGAAGGAGAAGAGGAAAGCTGGAGCCTCTAATTTTGTCCCCTAAAAAGATTCTTTCATGATGGTTGGCTATACTGAGTTCCTCCCTGGAGAGGTTAGCAAGTGTCTGTGCTCATGTGCAGGATGAACTTGCCATCTGCAGCCTTGGGACGAGGAGGTGGAGGAGAAGAAAACTTGTTGGTTGTCCTTCTGTTAGACCCCACAGAGAGAGATGGAGCTCAGCACTGGTGGCTTGGTCTGCTGACCCTGCAGCAGCACACAAATTTTGTGTTCCTCTCACCCACCAGTCACCTTCCAATAACCAAACTAAAAAGCCTAGCACACAAATTCAGAAGCTCTCCCTCTCTGCAGTGTGATGGTCTCAGCCCTGCACACAGTGGGCACTCGGGAGTCTGGCGCAGACCTCCTTGGGACTGCTGCAGGCTGCTTCTCCTTCATCCGGCCCCCTGGAGAAAGTCCTGTGCACAGGGACACACGGGGGGCAATGTGCTCTTGTAGAACAACCCGTTCTGCTGAAACATTCAGATGCCATCTCCCTGATAAAACAAAGCTAAGGGCTTGATTGTAGGGGATATGAAAGATTTCTTTCTCCTAAGAGCAGGGCTGTTTCCCAATCGTGTTTGCTAATCAAATACCAATGTGACTGGGGTCACATTACACTATGGCTGTCAGCTCTAAGCGCACTCTGTATTTTTCATGTCCCATCCTGGTCTGCTGTGTTGTGTTGCTGTTTCACCCCAAGAGGCAGCACAAGAAGACTTTTCCTTACCAACTGCTTTGTGATTTTGCTTGGAAGCCCTGATTGAGACTCGGATCTGGTGCTGTCACATCCCATGCAAATGACTAAGGAAACGTTTACTAAGGAAACTAACCAAAGTTGTTGGTTAAGCATTTAATGCAGCATTTAATTACAGAAGTAAAGAACTGAGGAACAGTAATGTGCTGTTCAGATGTGAGGTGCTATTTGCCCATGTTTTCTGCAGCAATTTTTCAAAATAGACAGCTCTTCTCAAACTGGAGACGTATTTCACTCTTTTTAAGAAAGTTTTACTCTTGTCTTATGTTCATGGAGATATAAAAGTTTGGCATTCTTTTTTATAATGTCTGAGCTAGCAGGGTTTCTGAGACAAATCTAAAAATCCTTTCTTGTTATTACATTACATGCCTGAATTCCCACTGCTATATACCACAAGAAGTCATTTACCCTCTGTGAGTTGGTGTAAAATACTACTTCTGGTGCAGAATTCATATCTAGGCATGTTTTATTTTTGCCCAAGGTAAATAAGAATGTGGGTGCAGGTTGGAAAGGACAACTTTCTTCCCTGTTTTTTTTCATTAACTTAAGCCGAACCTAGTGATTCTTCTGGCAATTGCCTCAGAGCTGGTAACTACTATGGGAGGTTACAGAAGCATCTCTTTTTGCTTTGCAAAATTTTCTTTGCTCCCTGAGGTTGTGGTCTCCCCACCTCTACTCTACTCTACTCTACTCCCCCCTCTACTCTGCCTGCAGGTTTCCAGAGATCTCTGCTTCCCCAGGGGTGCACTGGTTGCAGGGCACCAGCCACGTGAAAAATTAGTGTTCCCTTTACATATACACCCTCAAATAAGTCAAAATATTTTGGGACAGAAAAGTTATTTGTAGCATCCCTGTTCCTTTGCCACAGCCACTGCGAGGAGCATTGACCGCTGTGCCATTAGACAGTTTTGATTGACGAGTCCCACTAAAATATGTGACTCCTCAAAGATTATGCCAGGAAGTTACACATTTTAACAGACGCTCACCACCCCCTTCTTTTCTATAAACAGAGAAGACATCTCAAAGGGGCAGGCTGCAGATGGGATTGTTTGTCTCTTAGTGATACTCATATCCCGGGTTGAAGTTTCATGGGTAATTGTACCAAGGCCACTGGTAAGTCAATATCTCTGATGTGACATCCATTTAAGGGGCTGCTTTCTAGCTGCACTCTTGGGCACAGACCTAAGGTCTTGCGGCAGATCAGGGAAGACTCGTATCTTGCGGTCTCATGTTCCCCAAAACTCTTCTGCTGGATTTCCCAGCCCATTACCCACACTTTCTGTCAAGGTTGTCCAGATTTCTAAGAGCTCTGAGGCAGATGATACTGGGATGATTTACTGAGGGTGTGAGATGACAAACAGACTGGCAAGCATTTCCTTGTGGCCTTGGCTACTCAGACAGCTTGAAAAGTGCTTGGGGACTGAGAGAGGCTATGAAGCATGCACAGCACAAACTTCCAGTCCTCCAGCCTATTCCATCTATGTCTGCACAGAAATTCTCGCAGAGCATACATACATCAAAGGGAGAAGCAGATTTTAAAAAAATATATACTAAGTAAACTCTTAGATATAACCTAGGACCAGAATCTCAGAGCTTGCCCACACATTGATCTACATACAGCATCTATGCAATACAACTCTGTGTAGAAACCTGTACTTAAAACAACAGTTTCTTTTTTTTTTTTTTTCTTTTCTTTGCTTACCTTGCTTTTTGGAGTACCAGTGATTTTTTGTGTTCAGTCAGTGCTCCCCCCAATACAGGAGATCAACAAGGGTCTCTCCCACTTGTTGTGTTTGTAAAGATCTTGGAGAACTCTGGTCTTCAAGTGCAAAATAATTTCTTTCTTGCTCTTGCTTCCAAGCACTGCAGTTCTGTGGGCCAAATACAAGTTACTTCTACAATACTGTCCAAGGGAAAACAAAAGTACAGCTCAGACCTTCAAACCCTTTTCTATACATACATGGTGTCTTCCTGCTCTGGGGCTCTTCTGCAGGAGGGACTCATGTGGGTCAAGCTATTGGGGCACCAAGGCTTTGGGGCACCTGTCTTACAAAGACACAGAGCAGCTGTACAACATCTACACTGAACACTTTACCCAGCTTCCATCCAGGACCATCAGTTAATCACAGGGATGTGCTGTGATGCCCAGCACTGAGAAGCTCAGAGCAGACATGGCCTTGCTGAAGCCAGGAGATGTTGGGAGGCAGAATCTGTCTCAGGAGGCTCCCACATTGCTTCCTAGACAGGGGTGAAAGACTGCAAAAAAGACAAGGGGAGGGCTGGGAGAGGGCCAGACACGGTCCTGAAGTGGGACCACAGCCTGAACCTCTTCAGCCATGTTAGCTTGCATGCTTGACCCTGGCTGATCAAAGCCTCAATAGGACATTGCCCTCATCTTCCTGCCCTGTCACTGCCAGCAGGAGCACAAGTTATTTGTCTTTTGTGTGTGAGGACCTCCTCCTGGGGGCCTTGTCTTCCCTCTAATCAAATAATCAGATGTGTTTATTGTTGTGGAAATCATGCCCTCCCCTGAAATGCCTGACCAGCAACAGCTTCCTGGCTTTGTCTGCAGGCCTGCTGCCTGGACCCCACCTCTCTCCTGGTGTGGCCTGGGGGCTGCATGGGGGCAGCCAGCCACTTGCTCAGCCAGTGCTGTGTGTGTGCTGTGTCTCTGAGAGAGGGGACCTCGCAGACAAAGGTAAAAATGCACCCACACCAGGGTTACTCTCTCCATGACCAACCTCTGTCAGGGGGAAAATCAGCTACATCCCAAGAGGAGGTTTGCATTTGGAGCAGATACTATGCCACTGGGACACATGAGTAAGGGGAGAGGATGTTCATAACCATGGAGCTTCCCCTGCCTCTGTGAAAGCTGGCTGAGGAGGCTGGAGGCTCTCCTTACCAGCCCACAGTGGCCATGGGACACAACACGCCAGTCCATCCCCTGTGTCTCCAAGTGTGAGGGAAATGGCCAGCAACTGTTTGCTCATGGCCATCGCACCTGCCATGTGGGGCTGCCCGTGAGGCCGGCTGGCACCATGCCTGAGGGGCAGCAGCTCTGCCTGGGGCCATTGCCCTGCAGCTGTCCTTGGCCCTGGTTGTGGTGACCCTGTGGGGGCACAGCCATCCCAGCCTCACCTCAGCCAGCCCAGCCTCACCTCAGCCCAGCCAGCCTCCCCTCAGCCAGCCCAGCCTCACCTCAGCCAGCCCAGCCTCACCTCAGCCAGCCCAGCCTCGCCTCAGCCCACCCAGCCTCACCTCAGCCAGCCCAGCCTCACCTCAGCCAGCCCAGCCTCGCCTCAGCCGACCCTGCACGGCCTTCTTGCCCACCTGCAGCTGCGGCTTCAGGAACGCTGCCAGGACCTGCTGCCGAACTGTCTCCTCTCACAGGCTCTCCTGCTCAGCCAACAATGGGCTTGATTTGTCTACTGACCCCCTCGCCCCCAACATATGTCTCATAATGCATATTTTTAAACTCTGATCCCATATCCTGTCAGGAAAAGGAACGTCCTTACTGCATAGCACCAGTCTGAATTTTTGGGTGTTTTTTTCTAGTAGAGTTCTTTTCCTGTGTTTACAGTCTTACAGAGCAGAATTTATTAATTCGAAGATAAGGACAACTTAGAACATCTTGGCTTATGAAGGCTGACAGCAGGGGTAAAAGTAAACTGAGCCCATGCCCTGCTTAATAATGTTCCAGTGCTGACATCAAGTGCCAGGGCAGCTCCACAGGGCCTGGGACTCCAGCACACAGCCCCTGGCAACCCCGCTGCCCTCCCCTGCACACAGACCGTGGCGGGAGCCTGCATGTTTGTCTGCCCGCCGCTGAATCACCGTCTCTGGAGCCTGCCTGCCCTGTGGAGGCACCCACTCAGTGTGCCTGTCTGTGCTTGGCAGCTGTTGGCCCTATTTTATGTTTGCACCCTTACTGGTGTTCCGGCTTGTGAGCTGAGGCTCCTGCTATAGGACGTGTGGGAGAAGGGCAAGAAAGGAGCAGAGTGAACTAATTGGAAATGTGCAGTTTTTAAATAAATAAAGAATTTCTTAAAAATAAAAAGGCTTAGCAAATTAAAGCAGACAAGCAGGTTACTTGGCAGCTAGAGGATAAACTTGAACATCCTGGGCACACAGTGCATCAAAGCATTTCCCAATGCAGAGAGCCCCAAGAGCTGCCCTCTGGGTTTGGTACCCAGACCCACTCCAGTGAGGGTGTTTGCAAATTGTTTTCATTCCTGCTCCTGAGAGCACACTGACAGCAGGGTGTGCCCAGGCCAGTGCTGTCCCCGGGTTCTCTCCGAATGGGGCTGCTGATGGGGGTATTTGTTGGCACTCTACACCTAGAGCACAATTCCAGCTGGACTCAAGCTCATTGAAGTCAGTGAGAGAACAAGTGCCTTTTGTTCAGCATAAACATCCAAGAGGAGACATGTAACCAAACAGCCAAAACAAAAATTACACTCCTTGAAACACTGCCCCAAACAACTACCCGTGTGGGCCAAGGGTTCCTATTGTTCTCCCAGAGCTTGCAGGGCCAGGGAGGACCTGAAACTCAGCTGGTAGACAGGCTCCTCTCTCATCTCTGAGGCTCAGGAACATTAGCTGAATGCCACTACTGCTGGCCAAACCCATGACTGATACAAACCATGTTACAGGGTGACTTGAATCATTTGCTGGCATCCCTGAGCAGGCCCCTGTCAGCAGGACAAAAAAGTCCTACAGAAAATCCACTGTGACAGAGTTGGGGCTGTGACAGTAGGCACCCTGACCATGCTTTGGGACCTGCTGATGGCACCCTTGCTGACCCCTGTCCCCCTCTCACAGGAATCCTTGGGAGCAGCTGTCCTGAGCTGAGGAAGCCCAAGTAGATGGAAACCTCCATAGCTGAGCCCATGACTGCACTGCTTCCTGGGCACCCCTATCCCAGAGCATCAAGGTGAGTGATGTGTGTTACCTCTGACCTGCAAGGGGTCCCAGGGCTCCCTGCTGCCTCCATGTGCAAGTAATCCCAGGAAGGGGAAAATCCACAACCCGTGTGAAGCCTCAAGATTCCTCATCTTTTCCTAATGCTCAACATAGAAGAAAATCCACAGGAGAGAGCCTAAAGAAATCAAACTTGGTGAATGCTGCCTCTGCTCTCAGGAAATTTGGCCAGAAGTAAACATGCAGAGGAATGTAACTGCTGCAGAAGATGGTGCTTGACTTTTTAAATCCAAGTTGGATTTAAAGCACACTGTGCTTTGGCTGTGATTTAGCATTTTTCTTTTCTTTTCTTTTCTTTTCTTTTCTTTTCTTTTCTTTTCTTTTCTTTTCTTTTCTTTTCTTTTCTTTTCTCTTTTTTCCTTTATTTTTTTCTTTTTACTTTCCCTTTTCTGTTTTGTAGCAACAGCAGTCTTACCACTCTCCAACCCATCCTGACCCCCAGCCTGGCTCCCCTCACTGCTCCATCCACTCTGTTGTGCCATCAAAGCAGTCTGAGGAACTGAGTTGGGAAATGATCCATGTCAAAAACAGCCCAGCAAAGAAAAAACAAATCAGTCTTTTTTTCAATAGCAGCTCAGTTTCCATTGTCCTTTCACAGCAATGAAAATCCCTACAATTGGAGAAGGAGAAAGGACATGGGGATGGGGTGGGACCAAGTGCTAGGAGGGAGGGATGGGTCAAGAGGGCATTAAATGCACATTGGAAGGAGGCCTTACTGTCCTCTTGCTATATATAAACAAAAATGACTGGCCTGGAGGGCTTATTTTCAACAGAGGGGAGAGATGAACAAAGAGGGAGGGTAGGAAAGATATCCTCCATGGTGAGGAGGATGTGTGCATGTACCTCTGTGAAGAGATAAGAAACACCCTTCTTGAACCTAACAGTCCACTAACTGACTTAGCTGTGATTAATTTGGCCAAATGTGAATACAGAGTGGAAACTGAGCATGCTTACCGTGCCTTTGATTTCCTCTGCTTGCCGAATTGACCAACAGACTGTCAGGCAGCTTCAGTCTAAAGAGCAGCCTCACAAGTGCTCCACCTCGTACTCTGGTTTCAGTGTCCCTGGAGGTGCCACCCCCCCTGCCCATCCTGGTTGGGCCGTGAGCGCTGCTGCTGCACCATGGCCTGGTGCCCAGCCAGGAGCCCTCACCCACTGCAGCAGCCTTGCCAATCCTTTCCACACCCGGGGCAGGGGCTGCCCTGCAAACTCAGCCCACCTCTGCAAGTTGTCACTTACAGGCATGCAGGCATGGGAGCAAGAGGCAGCATGAGGAAATGCTGCTCTGAGAGCTGTCTCCTCGTTTTGTTTGCTGGGCTCAGTGGCTCTGCACATCCAACCACTCGTGGACCAGGTGCTCACCATTTATACTGGCATCCTCTCATGCATACGTTGCTGTAAATACTGACTCCTTCAGGGAGAGGCTAGAAATAAGCTGGTAAACTTGTTTTTAGATTAAAAGTAGCAATACCTAAGTGTGTGTACATATACATACACATATACATATAATAAATGCATATCTATACCTAGGAGGAAGGGAGAGGAGGCTTATTTATTTTTCTTTACTTATAAACAAATCTCTTCATATTTGCTCTGCTTTTTCTTCTCTTTTCATTCCAAAAAAATATGGCAAATGAAACCTCTTAACATCATGACTTGCTGGTTTGAAAATCTAGGTTGCAATCTTTAAGTTTCTTTTTCCTTTGTACTCTGGATTTAAGGATGTGATATATGAAAACTCCAGTTTAACAGAGCCTAGAGACTAAATCAGATTGTGTAGGTAAGGTTTTGGCTGAGAAGCAGACACTTCCTAGTCAGTACCAAGAATTCAGAGAAGAACAGGGTAGGTTTTAATGTAAGTTTACTTTCCTTGCCATGAATTTTAATGACAGTTTTCACGACTGTTTCTGCAATTCGTAAGAGAAAATTAAAAACCTACACCTTGAAACTTATACGACAGCTGCTAACATCTCACAGCTTCTGGCATTATCTTGGAGAACCCTTCAGTCCTTTTTCTGTGCCACATTGTTTTCCACACAAATGTATTTAAAATATAAAACATTGAATGTTCATTGCTTCTTTATATCATTTGTATTCATTATCCACTAGAGGCAAAGGGCACAGCTTTATATAGAAGCCTCATTGAATGTCTCATTTTGCTATTTTACTGTACTGTACATATTTCCCAATAAATTATTTCTTTCAAATGCAGATATTCTTCTGGAAAAGCAAAGCAGGGCTGTTTCCTCTGCACAGAGGTTTCCTTTTACCATGAGCACAGCCAACTCGTCTGGCTTAGGTTAGTTTGTCAGGCATATTTTGGGAACAGTTTAAGAATTAATTCTGCTTTAAAGACTATAATCACCTTTTTGGCCCTTGAAGCTGGTTCAGAATTTTTGTACCAGGCCAGCAATAAAATAGCTTTTGCACATGTCAAAGGTTTATTCTAGACAAGCAAAAAGCAGATGGATTCTTTGTCTTTCTTACAATCTATACCCACAAAGCACTGACTCAGAAATGACTTGTCCCCGTACGTAATGAAGGCACAGTCCCACCCCATACCACGTGGGGTGGTCCTGGAGGCCACATACCTTGACTCTTTTGGGTGCCAGCAAAATTATTTGTGTTGGTTAGCAATACTCACAGATGGCTCATGAGGCTTCTCAGCAGTGAAGGCAAAAGTTGTATTGAAGGCCAATGTGGCTTTGGGGACTTCAGTGAGCAGGGGGAGCCTCTGGATGAAAGAGACAGGAAAGGAGACTGTGATGTTGGTGGTACCCAGGGAGATGAATGGAAGCATCTGTGGAACAAGCTGTGAGACCTGGATGCCAGCATGTGATCTAGGGAGGGAGCAGGGATGTGTGATGGGTGTCTCCCCATACTGGTTGATGGGTTTCCTCACAATTCCTACTTGCCTTTCTGTTTTCTTGCTCAGGCAGAAGGTAGCTTTCTGCTGCTTTGTCCCTGGTCTTTACTCTGGACACAGTGGAGGGATGTCACAAGTCTGGGATGCAAAATGGAAATTGGGGAGAATTATCAAAGAGTTCCACCCTCCTTGTTGGTTTATGAACTTCACACATTGGGGACAATCCCCCCTCCTTCCCAGCTATTTTCTGTTTAGGTCTGACACCCCCTGTCCCCTTTTTCAACCTATTTTAATTTCTCATCCCCTTTCCTTTGCTCCAGTTGACTCTCCTTATAATTTTCCACTCTCCACTCCCTCACCTCTCCTTACCCATTCCCAGAACAATCCTGTCTCTCTGGTTGCCTGTGTCAGATCATTCCCATCCAGCTCACTGAGAAAACCATCAGCCAAGATGTCCCCCCTGGAGCAGGTCCCACACTTGAGAATTAGGATCCCTTCTGTCTTGTTTCCATCCTTTTCCAAAGAATGCCTCAGAACCTCCATACCTGCTCTGTAGGGATGAGCACATCAAGTGAAGGGAGTCTGAGTACCCTCCTCAGGAGACCTCCAGAGCCTTTGAGCCAGAATCCCCTGGGACTTCCTAGAAGCCCTGACTGCCTTCTGGGAGGCTGCAGGAGCTGCTCAGCTCCACTTCAATCTTGATGGCATTTTGCTTCCTGAGAGCCTCCCAAGCAGCACAGCTGCCACGTTCCTCATGCCTGAGAGGCTGTGATGCTCTGCCCTGGGTAGAGCACATTGCAGCAGGTCACTGCACTGCTGCTGGGGCAATGCAGCTCCGTGCGGGAAGGCACCGCATCCCACTCTGCTTGCAGCAGGATACAGCTCTCAGCCGGGTGCAGTCTCGTTCATTAAAATTAATTAACAGTCAAATAGCTCCACATACTTCCTTACACAGACAGAGCAGTGACAGAAAAATAAATTTTAACTTGAGCCCAGGTCCTGGAGAAGTGAGTGCTGTTGTGGGGAAACCACAGGAGACTGCCAAGGCAGAAAGACTAAGATCTCAAACTGTGGTGACCGAGTTTCCAGCTCTTAATACACTCCTACTTTGTCTTTTGCTACTCTTTGTACAGCTCCAGCAGGAAAAACTGAGGTATCCTTTTTATTTGTACAGTTTTTAGCTGTGAGTGTAGGTTATGGCCTGACTGGTTCTAAAATTGGCATCTATGTGCTTTATAATTTAATACATGCTAAAACTGACTGACAGTTATCCATGAGCTGTCTTGGCTGTAAACACCAAGACCTGCATTCAAAATGTTTTGGAATGCAGTACACATGTATTTTTATTGACCCATTCCTGCCATTTCTGTTACACCTTGTGTTGTAAACCTGCACCTTTCTATTTTGTTCTTATATTCTTTCCTTTTACTTCATAGTAACCCATAATTTCCATCTTAAGCTTCATTATTCCTTCTCCCTGTACTAATGCCTTTTCACTGAAGTATCTATTTTGAAAATTATTCCACCTAACATAACACTCTTGCCCAGATCTCACTGCAACCCACAGCCTGATCCTACAAAGATCTATGCTTGTGCTTGATGTGTGAAAATAAGTTACCAGCTTCAGTTCAGTGACCAACATACCTCATGTGAGGAGCCTGTGCAGTACTTTCAAGGCATCCTTGAAAATCTCTGGCAGGGGTCTCCAGCCCTCTCAGCTGGTTGGTCCTGGCAGCTGCTACAGGCTGCAGAACACCTCAGCTGGTACCAACAGCAAGAGAAGAGCTCCATGTTGAGATGAAACTACCTGGGGAACTTCAGCAGTGAACACACAGCTGCCTAAGCTGAAATTCTCTGAGTTGAAAAAGGACTTCTTCTTCCTTCTCCTCTCGATCCTGGGGTATGGAATCAGGATTCAGGCAATACAGCTGAAGGCAATGCAGATTTGAGACAGAATCAAGTTAAGCCCTGGGATGCTTTTTTTTTTTTTCCTACAAAGTAGCACATGGCTGCTGCGTTTTTGTTTTTTTCTAAAAAAAAATGATCTTACCAATTCTGATCCAGCTTGATGATGTATCATCCTCTAATATCAAATCATATCCATGGCTGAGGATGACTTTGTAGACACAAAGAAGGGAAAGACTCTACATACAAGTGCATAATCATATACAGTCTTAAAGCCTTTATTTTAATGCAAAATAAACCAGGTAAAATTTATATAGCCATATGTAACAAAAGATCAAAATCTTTGACGTGGTACTAGAAAAAACCTGTCAAATTACATGTTGAATTTCTCCCCCAAAACAATCACACATGATTTTTAAATCAGTTTCACTTAAACACACAGATATTGTCAGGATTACAAGTACCTCTCTCTCCCTCACAGTAACAGAATAGTGTCTTACAAAGCCTTGTTTCCTATGAAGAGATAGTGAATAGCACTTCTGATTTTGCACGTAAGGCTTAAGGACCCTGCAGGACAACTGTGACAGGGAGCACAGGTGTGGGGCCTTTTGAAAGTGCAAAGCAGCCCCTGCCCAGAGCAGTGTCAGGATGTGGCCCTGGCAGAGCAGTCGCTAGGATTCACTCGCAGCACTAACTCTGATAAACAAACCTGTGATGGCTGGGAGGAAGAGGTAGCACAATTCATCTGTAAAAAAATTAGGCAGCATGTGAAGCTATTTCTAGATCAGGAAGCTGGAGTGAATTGGAATTCAGGACTGTATGCATTTTTTCAAGGCAAGAGCCTTTTTTTTTACTTCTCTATGCTTAGTTTCCCCCACAAAGGGCAGTTGATATTTCTTTACGCATTTGAGGGGTGCCTAGAGACTTCTGCATCATAATATATCACAGTGGTAATGTCGGCTCACAGGCCAAGATCATGGCTCACTAGTGGGTGGTCACTCAGAAAATCCACAGGCTCTTTTTCTATCTCTTAATCTTTCAACTGCTAGGCCTGGCTGGCCCTGTGCCAGAGCCAGAAATGCAGGCTGCACGCCACCAGCTCAGGAAATCAAAGCTTCAGCTTCACGTGAGTGCGGGCCTCTCTCCCTCGGTCTTGATGCCTGTTCACACACACACACACACACACACACACCACACACACACTTAGGGCTGCTCCCGTGGCAAGCCCAACTCTCCCTTCACACCCACTACGTCAGTAACTCTACTGCTGGACTGGCACATTTTGGATGAGGGAGTGCGAGGCAATTACGTGTCAAGAGCATTTCAGACTCATAATTTTCCCAAACATATGGACATATGGGAAAAGAACAACTTGTTACTTAACGGCTCTTTTGGATTTTGCAAGTGTGTATTTTCAACCGTCAGTTGTAGCACCTCGTGAATTCTGCACGGTACATATTTTTCCACAATATGGTGCTAAAATCATACATTTTATACTGCAGAAAAGCTGACTATATATACTGTAGTTACACATTATACTTTTGAAAATACTGTACCTCTACCAGATATTAAATCAGGAAATGGCAATTTTCTCCCAGAACAATGGCACCAGAGATTGGTGAGATGCTCTGTAATACTTTTTGGTCTTGCTCCCCCAGTTAGGTCACACTGTTTTTCCTCCTTAGCTCCTTACCTGTAGGATGCATCCATACATTATACTTACAGCTTTTTTTTTTTTTTTTTTTGATTGGAAGAAGCTCTCTACTGATTTCTGCTTACTGAGCAGAAGCATCATTTAATAACCTGTTGGGTAAGGTAAGATTAACAGCTCAGAAGGTGTTTGTTTGATTTGTCTGCCTCAACTGAGTGGAGCCGATGCAGTCAAGGGGAGCTCTTAAGGAAAGATTCAGGTTACTAGGAGATATTGGGCAGGTCCCTCAAAGGCTATAAATAATCTAAGAGCTGTTTCTATCCAGATTTTATTTGGCCCTGGCTCATGAAATACTGTAAATAAGTTCTGTTCACTGTGCTGTGATGCCATTTGACGGGTTAGTTGAGAGTGATTTACAAAGGCAGTAGCTTATATTCAGAGCTGTTCTTAATTGTGGCCTGGCTTGATAAAGCCACTGTCGCAAACATTAGTTTCTTTGCAGCTGGATCAAATGTATCAGGGGTTATATTTCAATGAGGGAAAGGAAAGTATTTTAATTTGTTTTTGCTTCACTTTCAACAGGCCTTTATAACACCAGCGGCTATCCTGTGGCTGCCAAGTCCTGGCTGAGTATCCTACAGCATTTAAAGCTTTCTGAGAGAAGTACAGGGCTGTGCTGAGCACGTACATGGCAGGCACAGTTTCCTTGGGGAATGCGCCTTATTTATGGAGGGTACTGAGAGACATCCAGCTTTGCACCCAACACTCCCTCCAGAGGTTTTTCCCTCCTACATTACTAGGGAAGAGGGCAGAATGAAATGGAATAATGACCAAACACCCTTACTTCATAATCAGTTGCATTCCTCTTCCTCTCTCCCTCCCACCAATGCTTCTTCCTGACTGGATTTAGAGCTGTGCCTGCCCCTGCCCCAGGGAGTCCAGCCCTCTATCTGAATCATGTAGGTGCTCCTCTGCCATGGAAAGCTGTCTCCTCTCCCCTGCTTCCCAGCCTGCTGGTGGGTGGAGGCTGGTGGGAATGCAAGCACTAGAGCCTGCCAGCCACTCAGGCAGCTGCAAGTAATC